AAGGTGTTCAAATAGCACAACTTCAGTTTTGTTATTTCTATATGATGAACTCTGCATTATTAAGTGATAAGAACAGGTAATCTGATGTCCTGTAATTATTATGACACTATAATTTGAGATACAATAAATAAAAATAAGTTTTTGTACAAAGTATCGGTATCGGATCAGTATTGTCGATACCACCCTGAATATTGCTTGGTATCGGATTGGAAAGAAAATCAGTGGTATCACACATCACTAGTTACCAAACCCGACATCCTCATTTTGAAGCTTAGCTCCCTTTACCTACTACTATAGTCTTTTTTTTATTTCCAGAAGCGAAACAAGTGCTATGTCATAATGCTAACTAACTTGGTAATCAGTCTGTATCCACAGATTATATGAGCCACATGTGAAATAAGCCTCAGTCCAATTTGAACAGTGAGATATAAAAATGCTGTAAGCATGTTTATTTCTGCTGTAATTTTGAGCATTTTAGCATGAGACTGATTCACTGCTGGCGCCCCTGCTGGACATCAAAGGAACTGCAGGCTTTAGTTCTTCAGCGTCTCGCATACGAAGTACCTTCGCTGCACAGTTTCCCGCTAAATTTACGGTAGCCCCTGGCAGGTTCATTTGAACTTTGACCTCGGTGAGGTATGACGTCTATATCTCAGATTGACAGGTGCAAAACTTGTCGTAGTACAAGCAGAGCGCTGCAGCAAGTTCAACACAAACGTTGGGCTGTTCACTCAACCAGCACTCGCCACTTCCTGTGTGATCAGCCTTCAGAAGTTGAGTAGCTGGGCAGCCCGATTAAGATAATGGAAGAACTATTGTCTGTTCTTGTTGTTTTTTTTTGTTTTTTCTTGTTAAAGCAGAAACAAGAAGACAGACATCCATTAAGCAGATTAAGAGAAGTTCAGCCTTTCCAGGAGGAATTTCAAAGTGGGAAACTTCACAGAGAGTGATATGAACACCTTCTCTTCTCTGTTGGCCAGGCAGATCTTTTTAAATAGGACTCTTTCCCCCCAAGATTTGGCCACTGGATAAGAGAAGTCATGGGTCACGTTCATCTTGAAGATATCAGCTACACCATAACAGGATCTATTGGAAAATCCCGTGCTACCTGATAACATTCATATCCTTTGCTGAAAGCATGGCGGCTGGTATTATTAAAACATACTGTGATGCTATTATTGACCTATGTGACATAATTATAATTTATTTTTAAATATTACTGAGAAAACATGTTGATAATTCCTAACTATCTTTGCATGCTTAATAATCTGGTATTGTATTTATTTTGGTTCATATAGTCTGTATTGTGTTTTTTTTCTCAAAACAAAATACAATAAAGACTTTATTTGAAAACAAAGACTGTTTCTCGGGTTCTATTTGCCGTTTTTACTGGTTTCTGCTTCCACCTGCTGGTCCTTTGCAGCACCACAGTCACACAGATGCCCTCAGATAGGGATGGGTACCGGTGTCGGTTCTGACATAAACGGTAGTAACCAGACTGAAAAGCAGCGCACATTTCGGTGCTTTATTTCGGTGCTTTATTTCGGTGCTTTTTTTTCCTGAGCTGTGATACACTTTGATTCTAGCCAATCATTTTACGTTTCCGAGGATAGTAGGCGGGGCCAGGTACGTACGTTCTGTTAGAGCAGAGCTACAGATTAAAAATGTCCAAGGCGAAGCGGTTAAAAGTCTGGCTGTACTTCATAGCAAAATGTGCAAACTCAGCAGCCTGCAACAAGTGCTTTAAGCTGATACTGTGATACTGTCAAAGGAGGTAACACCTCAAATCCGATGAAACACCTGGCGACGCATAGCGTTTTTTTAAAAAGCCGAGAAATGCGCCGTATTTGATAGCTTGCTGCGAGACCTCACACCGAGCACATCTACTGCGGGTGGGTTGCCTGTTATGCAACATCCCCCAAAAACACGAAGAGGAGAGTCCTGGCCCCTAGCCCTGCCAGTGTAGCAGAAATGATGACGGATGATGATGGCAGCAGCCGTTCTTCTCTGCGTGAGTAGCTAATTTACGTTGAGTAGGCTAACCACGTTATTACATTAATGCATGTAAGGTGAACTAGCAAACATCATCATAGCTACATGCGGCTGTCCTCTTGTTTGATGGCAGATACTCCCTTCACCCTGGCCAAAAAGGCTAAAATGACCAAAGAAAAAGTGGAAAACAGTTAAACATGAGAGGTTTAGGACAAAGTTTGTGTTTTTTCCATTGTTTAACTGCTTCCAGCCAAGAGTGATACCATATATGCCCCATAGCTGCAGAAAAGGCTAACATTGTTATATTTTTACAAAAAACAGCTTAACATGGGAGGTTTTTGGACCAATTTTGTGTTCTCCATTCTTTAAGCACCGGTTTGAGCACTGTTTGAGCACCGGCACCGTTTCAAAAGTACCGATTTGGCACCGGTATTGGATAAAACCTAAACGATACCCATCCCTACCCTCAGATCACATTCAGCAGCTTCTCTGCTTAAACCCTGAACATGATATTCACACTGCTCATCTTCCAGCTATTTAAATAACAATGTCTAATATGACTAGAAATCGTCTCCAAACAACTTCAAATACATTGCCCCAGTTTATTTAATCAGAGTATTGGACCTGTCCTTACCATTTTTGTCTTTGGTGTTTCATAAAATTGGAACAAATTCGATTTTTTTTATGAATTTCCTTTAATCTGCTTCCATTTGAAGGAGCTGTAACCCGAGTCTCCTCAGATAATGGGCCTGTATCTGTCTTTCTGTCCGAAACAAGCTGTTTCACTCCTCCCCCAGGAGGACAACTTTTGTTCTGGTTGGCTACCCCTCACAATCAGAAGGTTTGAACAGCAGGTGGGCGGACTTCTGTCTGACACGATCATAATAGAATACACCCTCTGCATGACATTATATACCAAGAGTTTATGAAAATGAGATCAGACAGCAGTCTATTGTACAACACAGGAAAGAGGAAAAGCACAGTAGATTGTTCTCCATCATGAAAATGAGATGAGCGATTTCACAGATAAACTTTTATTATGCCTGCACAGTGTTGCAATACAGAAGGTTAACATATCAAACACTTAAACTTTGCTTCACTCATACATATAAAATCACTATAAAATGTCACTCTAATATCTGCTACTGTTTTTCCAACATTCACAAAGGAAACGCCACTTCACTTCCTTCCTGTGGTTTAAAAAAAAAAAAAAATCCATCATCACCTGCTTCTCTCAACAGTAAGACCATTTTCTGTCAAAGAAAATCAAAGGAGAGAAAAATGCTGCAGGATAAATAAAAACAGAAGAGTTTGTTAACGTCACAGCCCAGCTCATCTTGATCATTCCACATCCCACAACTGGGCCTACGCCACATGAGCGATCTGGCACAAACCCTGACATACAGAGACCTGCCGAGTGCATCTGATTCAACATGGAGGGAAGATAGTCTCTCGCTCACCTGAAACTGAATGCTGAGGAAGGGGAGACTTTGCCTGCTGAGGCTAACTAAACACCATTTTTCACTCAGAATACCTTCGAAAGACATTAAACTCATCCATGAGAAAACATGAATGCTTTTAGGGATCTGTAGTTATCAAGCTAACTTTGGGTTTAACTCTGTCTTTTCAGGGTTATAAAGGTGGTATGTCACCATGGTAACTGATGCTACAGACCAAAGTTGCTCCAGGTTTTGTTGCAGGTAAGCGTTCACCATCTACTGACCAATCAGATTTTTGGACGATAGTCACCATGGCTGGAGTGCAGACAGTCCAAGGGTCTGAAGTGTTCGTGGTTATCGGATGAGCATCAGTAAGAAATAAGGATTCTTAGAGAAAGTTTATAGTTTCCTGTTTTTACAGATGGAGATAAGAAATGAAGGACTCGGAAGCACTTTTTCCCCTCACTGACGTTAAAACTGTTTCTTCTGTTTAAGCTAACTTCTGAATTGTTTGGTTTGTGGGAGCAAAAGAGCAACTTGCAGCTTGAATTTTTCACTAAATATGAGGTGTGATGAAAAAGTTCAGAGAAGTGGACACACAAAAAAAGATGGAAATGTATGCAGTCTCCCCTTCATGGTGACCTCAGACACCTCTGGACCTCTGAGTGCTGCATATCTTCAGAAATACTAACAGAAAATCTGTCATCAAGAAAATAAACTAGTCCAGATAATGCAGATCACATTTTAATCCAGTCTTGGACAGTGAAGAGTTCAGTTTTAAGGGACTGTGACATGAAACGGACTGCCGGGGACATTCTCGTCTCCCCACTTCACAATGAGGATGTAGCTGCCCTGCTCTTTAACAGTATAAGTGACATTGTACATCCTGTTGCCCATGTGTTTGACGTACACTTCCTCGCAGGGTGTCTTCGGCCCGTGGACACCGACCATCAACATGTTTGTGCCTGCAAGGAAAAAAACGGAAATATCGTGAGTGGTGAAGAAAAATCTCAGATTTGACTTTCACGAAAGACAGGAGGGACGAAATGGTCACCTGCTTTACTGCAGTCGACTGTGAAGGTGTTCTTCTGACCAATGAAGGCCTTTGAAAGGCCGGCGCCTCTGGAGATGACTTTACTGGCATCTGAGGAAAATTTAGGCAGAGAGGCAAAAGGGCTGCCTATCGCTACTGACTTGCTGACGGTCTCCACAAGAACAGACGACGTCTCATGCAAACTGTGGCCACCTGACAGACGAGGTCCTGGAAGAAGAAGAGTTAGAGTCAGCTTTCTCCAACAGTATGTGGACATCCCTTCAGGTTTACTGAAAAGGAGGAAAAGGAGTCATATGGTCAGTATCACCAGCTATGTAGAGCTTGGTGTCCTACAAGTGCATAAAAACAATTGGTTCCAAACAAGCTTTATTTAGAACTGAATGTGCTCTTTATCTCTGGAGGAATCAGTGGAAAGTGATGAATCATGCTTTATTTCCAGGAATCACTACGCCTGAAGGCAGCATGCAGACTGTACACAACAAGACCGAATCACTTTCATCCTCATTTCCAAGGAAACCCCAGGAAACTATACCCGTGAGTATCAGGAAAACTCACGGACTGACCTCAGTAAAAGGTCAATGGTCATTGACCCACCTGATACTTTGGCCTTGAAGGGGCTGCCTACAATGTGCTGGGGTCCTCCATACTTGATGGAGATCAGGTAGCTTCCAGGAGCCATAGGTGTGTAGGAAACCTTATACCCCTCAGGAGACTCCTGACAATCCATCTTAACCTTTGATGGGCCATCAATTGTCACGGACAGTGCTCCTGAGCCGGCGTTACAAGTATTGACAATAAACTCTGATGCCATGCCTAAATAAAGTGAGAACGCTCATTAAAACTCTCCTTCATCAAATGGCTTCAAAGTTAAAGACTTTGTTTTTTGTATATACCTGTGGTTCCTCCCTCCAGACCTGACCCAAACGCAGACACCATTCCTGGATCTCCGACCTGACCCGGTTCTCCTACTCTGATCTTGAAGGGACTGCCGGGGACATGGCTGCCATTAAAACGAACGTCTATAGAATGAACTCCATTCTCCTTTGGGATGAACCTGATAGCATGCTGATCTGTAGAAACAGGAAATCATTGATTTACAAACAGTTCTATAACCACCGTAAATACAGACTTTGAGAAAGAGGTTTCTTATACGAATGACTCTATGATCCTGTATTTAATATGAAGATTAATTCAATTCTTTATTTATTTGTCACATGTAGTTATAACTAGTACAACACACAGTGAAATGTTTTTTCCGGCTAAAAAGTACTCCCCCCCCGACTGTGCATCTTACTAAACTTATAATAAAAAATATCTATATAAAAGTATAAAAATGTATAATATTGTGCAAAATATTACGCTGTAATAGTTAAGAGCTATAGTGTACGTATTTACATAAATACAGATGTAAATGATAAAATACAAATAAAAATAAGGATAAAACTCAAAGGAAAATTATATACTGTGTATGGAATTGTCCATCATGTTGTCCGACTTGTGTTTTGATTGAGGAGTCTCACTGTTTGTGGGTAAAAACTCCTCCTGAACCTTTCAGTTCTTGTTTTCAGGCTACAGAGGCGTTTCCCTGACCTCAGTGGCCTGAACAGGCCACTAAATACAAGAAAGATTTAAACTTCCAAACACTCTGAAAAATTACAAATTAAAATTAATAGTTAAGCAGTAAATAATAGTCTTGTATTTATAGCAAATAAGTGATCTGAACCTGAAACACTAAAAGGTTGTGGGCCCAGACTTGAACCTTGTGGAACTCCAAATGTAATTTTGACTGGGTTAGGAAATCGTGGTGGATCCATGTTTGGTTTTTAATTGTACTCAAAAGTCCTAAAGATCACTTCACTAACAGCTATAATGGGGTCTTACCGCTGTCCAGCTCAGTGATGTAACACTCTTCGGTGGCTCCTGATGGCGTGTGGATCTTGGCATCAATTAGCCCTCTTGCTCCATTGAGCTGCACTGCAAAGGAGGCCTCCTGACCCACCTTCAGACCCATCTCCTGGTAAAGAAAAGGGATTCAGTGCTTTGGACCATGGAGATTAAAAGTGTTCAACAAGCAGTTCTCGGTTATTTTAAACAAATGGAATATGCTTCCTCAGTACTGCAGATACTCATTTAAGTGTTTTTACAAGATTTCTTTGGCAGTTTGTAGTGCCTAAAAACAGGCACTACAAACTGATTAATAAAGTTTGTAGTGCCTGTTTTTATATTTATGCCTATGTTTTAAAGATTTGGCTTTAACTATAAATTGTTTAATCAAAACTATTTAGTTTTTTTATTTTTAAAATAGAAATTTGTCAGTTTAGTTTTATTTCTGTCTTTTTTTGTGAGATCCTCCATAGCCTTTTTTCTGTTAATGTTACCAGCATAATTTTTTTTTTAATTTCACAATTTAACATATTGTGACTTTCTTTTTTTTCCCTACTTGTACACACATTTGTTATATCTCAAGAATAAATGTGTTGCATACAAAGAAAGAGGGCAGCGATTAAATATTCAGAGATAAATATACACACCTATGAACACAAATACAATCCTCAACACAGCACACTTATTGAGACTAAAAATAAATCTGTCCACAGTAAATATAATTCTCAAAGGGTTTCATTTCTGTAAGTTCAGCTGGTAGATTTAGATCTTTCCTCACCTGCAGGCTGGTGATGGTGAGGCGGCGGGCGTCATCTGACAGCGAGGCGATGGGGACGGTAAAGGGGGAGTCTGGGATATGTTCATCATTGAATTTGATGGAGACCTCATAATCACCTGAACAAAAGAAATATATTATTGTTGGAGGGATATGCACTTTCTCCTTTAATACTTTAACGATCACAACAATTTGCAGATCCAATGATAAAAAAAACAAAAACAATATAACATTATAACAAGGAACTTCTAAAACATTTAGGCTACGTTCACACTGCAGGTCTTAATGCTCAATTCCGATTTTTTGATCAAATCCGATTTTTTTGTCTGCTCGTTCACACTACAAATAAAATGCGACAGCAAACGCGCTCTAGTGTGAACGCTCAAAGCGGCCCGCATGCGCAAAAGAAGACGTCACACACAACGCGCGCTGTTTAGACCCAGAGCAAACAGTATTGTTTGACTGATGGCCCTTAATATAAAGAGTTCGGACTTCACGTTTCCCAATTTTTGCTCTAAGTTATTTTGTTATTTACATAATAATGTAAATAACCTAATAATTATCATTATTGCTGTTTTAGAGGAGCGGTGCTTCAAAGGATAGCTGCAGATTTCTGTCAGAATCTGCAGATTATACAGTACAAATAAAATGTTCACGTTTCTCCAACGCTGTCTTCCCAGCAGTTTCACTGGATGGCCAGGAAGCGTTCGCGTTGTCTTATCGGGCGCTTCTCTGGCGCTGATAATTGGCGTCTGTCTTGTGTCGGTGACGTAAAAGACGGATTTAATGCGACTTGACCGTTCAAACAGCAGTCGCTTTCTGAAACATCGGATATGTATCGGATTCAGTACCACATACGAAAGTGACCCAGATCGGATTTGTGCCGTTCACACTGTCATACCATGATTGGGTATGGGTCGCATAGGGTCAAAAAAAAAAAAAGTCGGATTTGATGCGCTTTCGCCTGCAGTGTGAACGTAGCCTTATACTGTTTTTAAGTTCTAATTTTATTTCTGTTAATCTGCAAGTTTGTTTTTCAAAAGTTGCCCATTTACCATGAGTTCTAACTTTAATCTGTTTTTTTTAATTTTTAATTTTTTATATATCGTTCCAGAGGCAGAGCACGCTTACACTTTTACAATTACAATAATTATACTGTGACATGGATGGATTTGAACTAAACTGGTCCTTGGCGAATATTTGAAATGATAAAATTCAAGTAGTGATTCCAGGCTTGTGCCTTTGTTGCTATGTAGGTAGAAACCTTGTGGAATATAAGTTTGTATGCAGATCAAACCCTTTACCATCAGATACAGAATCCTAATGATGTTTATTGTCAAATTTTCACACAAATAAGGAATTTGTCTTGCTGTTATGGTGAAAAGAGTGATACAATTAATCAGAGGAATAAAAACAAAACAAAAAACAAATAAACACCGCAATAATCTGTCAGAGAGTATTAAAACTATCAGAGAGTATTAAAAGTATTAAAATTAAAATGATAACATCACACAGAAATAGGTTAGGCTTCTTTCATTGGCTGAAATAAATCTGAGAGGCTTAAGCCAAATATCTCTTGAGACTTACCAGGTTCCTGCACTACATAAATAACTCCACAGGATCCATCTTTCCTGTCTTCAAATGTTATCTCAGCCTTGCTGGGTCCTTCTACAGCAATAGAGAGACCTCCAGCACCAGCCTCTCTGGTCCAGATACTGAACTCCGCTGCAAAACAACACAAACTGTGAGAGCTGCAGTTCCTATCGTGGCCACTAGAGGAGCTTTTTGTAAAGAAAATTTTTCAAATTGAACTGAAATAGCAGACATATCATCAGTGAAACAAAATTAGGAGCATGGGTGTTTCAAGAGTTCATTTGACACATCACAGATGGATGTTTTGTTTCCTGTGACCAAATCTTGCTGACATGTAGGAGCATGTCAGCATCCAAAGATTCAAATGAAATCAAAGTTGTTACAGAAGAAGCAAAAAGAAACCGGTTCATAAGGACAGAAGAAGAGATAAGGAACAAATGTAAATTCTACAGCCCACCTGGGATTCCTGCCACTCCGCGGTCCAGTCCAGTGCCTCCTGCTCTGACCTTGTGGGCCCCTCCCTCTCCCAGGGGCCCCACAGTGAACTGGAAGGGGCTCCCAGGGACGTGCTGGCCCCGGTATTTGACGTTGACAGTGTGAGGTCCCATCTCCTGAGGGATGAAGCGGACGCTGTAGGTGCTCTCCTCTCCTTTAATGATCTCTGCGTCCTCTGTCTTTCCCCCAGGACTCGTCACCTGAGCCGTCATCTCCTGGTTAGCTGCCTCACCTGACAGGATTAGGAGAATGTTACTGAGGATCAGATGATTCATCCAGCAAATGTTTCATAGTCAGTTTTTACATAGCATGCACCAAAAAAAAAAAATCTTGCATCATGCACTGGTTAATATGTCACGGATTTAGATTTTGTAGGTTTTTGGTCTATAGCATGTTTATTTTGTAATTTTTAGTAGCTAAAATTAGGTGTGGAGCTCCTCAGAAATCAATCCAAGGTCCTCTTTTCTTTTTTCAATTGTTAGTTCAGTTTGAACAAATCATCTCATTCAATAGTAACATTTAAGTGAAAATACATTTTTATGAAGAATTTGATAAGAAATAGTGATGATAAATACTTGAACTGCAATCTTTTAATAATTTTACAAATTTAAAATGTTTCCTTGAGAGTGCGTATTACTAATATGCTTAATGGATGTTTGTCTTTGTCTTTCTGCTTTAAAATAGTCTTAAAGATGAACAGAAATCAGTTCTTCCACGTCTCAGTCAACAAAAACAACAGCAACCATTAACCTATAAAAAAAACTTGCTTTTCCTCAAAAGTCCACTAGAGGCTCCAACAGTACAAACATGGCCCAGAAGTCTCTGAACTGGACTTCTGGGCTGTATTTGTACTGTTGGAGCCTTTTTAAGGTTTTTTTTTATTTTTATTTTTTATCTGACCAATGATATGACTGCTGAACCTGTAAGCAGCTCCTTCCTTTTACTGCAACTATAAACCCAACACATTTCTTTATTGCTGTATCTGAGATTAGGCACAGTGCCCACATCAGGCCAGACTGAATAACAATACTACCTTAATCCAGACATTTTGACAGCAGAATGCAGACAAAGAGAAGTGAGAGAGCTGGAAGAATCAGAGCAGGTTAGAGGGTTAGCATGGGAGGCCATTACAGCACAACACACTGTTAAATCAGCCACTCTCACTTACCACACACACACACACAC